TACTAGGAGATACTCTGCGATACTAAGAGCACTGCACTAGTATCGCAGAGGTCAGTGGTTCGAATCCCGTACAGGCCTGATTTTTTTCAGGTCTGATTTTCGCTATTGCTTAAATAGCGCTATCTACTGCGAGGATCGTGCATCTTACGTAGAAGACATGAAATGACAAATCCTTTACTCGAATAGTCTCTAGGGATCAAAATGAGCTTCAGATAAGGCAACTAGTCGTAATAACTACCATACATACCGAGAGATGCACCAACCGTTGCACTTGAGACTATAGCACATAATGCAGCTGACGGTCCAGTTCAGTTCAATTTCCTAATATATTCTATCTGGGTTGACCAATCAGAGCGCGTGTTTACTTTAAGCTATGCGATTCTATCTGGAATCAGAACTTCGGAGAACTTCATTAGATGCAATGATCGAATTGCTTTATTTTTTTTAAAGACAGTATAGTCACAACTTAACTTCGGCCGGAAGTCGACGAATAGTTACATTGGCCGACTCTCCCGACTACTGGTAATTTCTGCATTTTGCTTTTCCTTTTGAGGTTCTTTCCAAATGGATTTCAGAGTTCTTGTTCCCAGCTAAACTGTCGAGGAAAACGTAGCTGATGGTCTGGTTTCTCATATGATGTACCGATTAATCAACAGTTGGGAAGCATGTTTCAAGCTCTGTGGGTTGACCCCTTTTTTTAAGTCATTACTTTTTCAACCTTAACTTTTGCAACAGGCTTAATCGCAGCTGGCTCAGGATCACTTCATCATTTTTCATCCTCATCATCAGACTTACATCCTGTATATAATTTTTGTAACTATTTTATATAAGATTTTTTCTATTAGCTCAGCCGCCTACCAATCGCGTTTCAAAAATTTATCTACCTGTAGCAACAAGAATTTGCACGTGCGTGCAAAACAATTTGCGTCATAATACTTGCCAATTTCCTGTGGCTTAACAAGGGGTGCATCAACAAGCAAGCGAGTACCAGACAGTAGCTTTAATTATGCTCAACCAAGAAAAATATATGCCATTCACACCAGGAATATAAGTTTTGTTCAACTGCATGAAAATCTTTCATTCACAAAGTGCTAAATTTGAAGTAGAAAAACATTGGTTTAAGCAGCTTCTATGAAGAAAACAATTATAAACTATGTTTGCAGCGGAAAAACATAGTTAAAATATGTTTACGTTTTTGTGTGAATGGGGTACTCAGGGGTCGAGTCAACAGATTGAAATCTCTTGATCGAGCTGATACCTGTACTGAATATAAACTAAGAACTGAATTTGCTTTGGTGTAAATTTTTAAAACGAATGGAAAATCTATGAAATCACTTAATTTTTCAATTTGTCACATAGAAAACAAACATGCACCACCATAGCGCTCGAAAATAAACAAGTCATTATTGTTTTCTTTTACCTATATGATAAATCCTTTATTCAGTCAAGATAGCTGGATAGCTGTTACATGTTTAATTCGTTTACGCAAAAAGGGAGAACTCGGCCAATATCCAAACATCGATCTTGACCTTTCGCTTAACGCATATTCATTGACCATCGTGGTTAAATGGATAATGAATGTTTGATCGTTTGTCACGTACGATATTGATTTTCATTAGACTATCAATCTTTATTTTCCCTACTTACTCTTATTTATCATTTTTAATGCGCTTAGAAAAACTTGAGATAGTTGAATTAAACTTAATTCTTCTTTTGAGTATGGGAGTTAGACCTACAGAATAAACTACGCACTCGTCACGCACACGTTGGAGTGGAACACTCGCTTTCCACCTTCTAATAGAATTATTTCTTAGTTATCTTGTACATATTCTTTAATAACTAATAAGCAATGAAAATGCGAACACTTCCTTCGATGAATCGACAACTGACTCACATAACTCCATAGATTCGTCAGCGAAAAAATTCGCAGGCATGTGTCACTGAGCATGGGTTGTCTGTCATGTTTACGTGGCGAATTTTCAAAATCTTTCCGCTCAACAAAATATTTCACGCCAGCTTCAAGGTTGTGTTTTATAATATCATACTGTTTATTGTTATTCAACTGGATGCCTGTATAGAAATGAAAGTGAAAAAGAACTTCCATCAAATTTTCATGTTGGGCTTGTAAGTGGTCGGCTTGGTGAGTCCTGACACGAGTTTCACTTGTGATGTATTCAAACTAAAAATTGCATCTTACCAACAATTCTAGCTGCACTTGTTGCTGAAAACGGCTCCATAACGTCCAATCAGGCTGAACACATTTAGAAAGGATAACACAAGATTTTTAAAACTATTTAGAAGCTAAAAACTCGCCAAAATTCGTACAACTTGTTTAAAAATTCTCAAATCCGTAAACGCACTGTTTCCACAGGCGGCCCAAGCTCTCTTTGAGAACCACACAAGGAACACAATTTACATATCGATTTATAAGGATTTGTATGGGATTTTCTACAAGATATCCATAGAGATAATTAAAAGTCAAGATATTAAATAAAAATGGCTTACCTTATTCCATACGTGTGTTGCTTGCTCCTGGTATCGTTATTTTTGCCGATTTCACTTGATTTAATCGGTTTTTTTTAATCCTGGTTTTCTCTTCTTAATCCCGGTCTTCTCTTTATGAAGAGAAAACCAGGATTAAAAAAACCGCTTAAATCAAGTGAAATCGGTAAAATAACGACACCAGGAGCAAGCAACACACGTATGGAATAAGGTAAGCCATTTTTATTTAATATTTTCACTTTTAACTATCTCTATGGATATCTTGTAGAAAATCCCATACAAATCCTTATAAATCGATATACAAATTGTGTTCCTTGTGTGGTTCTCAAAGAGAGCTTGGGCCGCCTGTGCAGTTTCTCGCTTGTATCCTGCGCGGGCTCCTGCACGCCTACTGCAAAATGCTACCCTCTGATTGGTTGAAGAAAATCAATTTTCGCGCGACTTTTTGTTGCGATGTTTCCTGTGTAAATGTTAATTACCAATGGTACTTCCGCAAGGAAAATTAGTTTTGCTAAAAAAAGGTCCCGTTCTGACCGTCTACATCTGGTACAGTAACATTTTTTACTCTTCTTTTTCCCGAGGTTATTTATTTTACAACGAGAAAATCAACAACTAGTTTTGCTTGAACGACCATAAGGTTGTACATTACCGTAATATCGAGAAACAATTGACCTAATTGTAAACAATCAAGTAACGATACGGCCTGAATTGATAACATTTTATCTACGTGTTATCTAGAAGTATCTTATCGAATATGTTCTTTTTATTGGCTAAGTGGACGTGAAAAAGACGCTCGTAATTTTGTAAATCTTCTTAATTATTAACTCATCACACGTAAACAATGAAACACAAGAAGAGATTTATGTCCAACAACTTCATTATATTCGCGCGTAGTTTTATGGATTAATTTTTTTTCCAAATATACTCACGCAGAAGAATATTTTGGGAAAGATTTGCATACAACCCCATGCCATAATAAAAGAAAGTATTAGTCCCACAGTTTCACCATTGTTTTCTCTTATCAAATACTGACTGTATGCATAATGAGGTTAACGCGGGAAATCTTGACAAATTTTGCCCCAGACTTTCACACCGTAAATCATATAATAGGGCCCGACATGGAATGTCACTGCGTGAAAACCTCACAAACAACGATAAAAGGGGAATATGACTAAAATTAACTTTTCAGGGAGCAGAAAGTTGTTTCCGGAGAAACAAAACATTTAGAACGACAACAACGCAAACCGAGGAAAATTAGCTTCCCAGGAGCAAACTTTCCCGGGTAGAGTGTGGGTGGGGTAGAAGTAATTTTAAAAAATCATCCCCACCTCCAGAGAGAGTTTGCTTACACGCTCATTGAGAAAGATCAGCTTGCCTTCAGTGCGGCCCATGCATGGTCTGATCATCATTGATGGAAGCGTATCAACGCACTTTACGTAAGAAGCCAGACTAAGGTATTCCCTCTCCTCCCGCCTGATTTGATCGGTTTTCTACCTCTCCCCCCTTCCCCTATCGTGCACTAAAGAACTTTAAAAGGCAGTGTCAGTGAGGTTACCTACTTAGCGTTTAATTCCGTTTTTTTCTGTAATGAATTTTTTTTAATTGTGAAGTCTTCACTGTCACAAATGTCACGTTTAAACATGTTCATTAAGGTAAGCAATAGTTATAGTAAAGTGCTTTAAAGTATTTCTAATTAAGCATCAGTTTACTTGATATCTATGTAAGACATCCTCAAAACAGGTTTTATCTGTCTCTGATTGCATGAATGGGCCATTTATTCGACAGAGGTTGCATAAACAAAACGAAGCAAAAGAGCAGCACAAATTGAACGTCTAACATCTAAACACATGATATAGTTATTAACACTGGCGACCAAATTATAATGCAAGGCTGTTTATGAGAAACTATTAGAGAGAATATTTCATGAGATTCGCTCAATAACAGGTTTATATATATAACTAAACTTCAAACTTCCAACGTAAACTATCTTTTTATGTCAGTATATATAACACTGCACACGAAGTAACGAGTGCTAATTTTCCATGGCTAAAAAACCGCGAGATTTTTGCCAAAGCGATTAAAATGAAATTCTGGATGGATCTCAAACTGCCCCGGTAGACATCGATGGGGTTGCATGAACATTGTGCTCTTGTTTGTGATGAGGTCTTCTGCAGAAATCATGGGACGTCGTTTCGATTTCGAGCTCCTCCTTAGGGTCGGGCATTTAATTGCTTGTTTGCCTTTTGAGAGCTTTTGGCGAACTTGATCAGTAATCAAATTTCGACCAGTCCTGAGAAAAATAAAAATAAAAACTAAATTTATATGAACACTTCAGCATAGTATCATGAGAAAGTTAAAATAGCAGTCAGAGATCTGAGGAATTGATCGACCGCAGAGCAGAAACCTTAACCGAGAGTAAGTCTCAAGGCTTTTAATTAAACGTCGTCTGAACTAGAACGGCTTTGTTGATTTGATGTGAGTGGTCTTGGGGACGAGTCGTTATCTATCGCATGCGTGGGGAGGGGGGAGGGTGGTGGATTTTTTTGGGATCACATGGTTTTCAGGGGTAACGGAGGGATCAGTCTTCGCCAAAAGAATAAAGAGACAGACTATAGAAAATAGATTGCTAAGTAGTTCCCTCTAAGGGAGGGGAGGGGTCATAAGAATATTATAGAGAGTGATAGGGAGATCAGTAAATCTGATTGTGGCACAATCAAAGTCCTCCCACCCCCACCCCCTGCGACATATAATGACCTTTGACCGGTACCTTAAAGCGTAGGATTCGTACTCGATTTCATCCTTTCCATCCTTGCTTTTAATTAACTTACCCTCTGAAATGTGCATTCTGAAACTGTTGACGATTCAGCTTCTTAAACATGCGTAAAGAACTGGTTTTCCACTGAGCTTTCCGTTCCAGGAAGCCTATACAAACCTACCTGGATATCTCTTCCGTCGTTTTCTTGCCGATGAAGCGCCGAAATTTGCAAGATTTTCGATCCATCTCACGATCCTGATTGCGCGTTGAGTTTCCGTTCAGCTTGTTAAAAAATCTAAATACGACATCGCGAACTGAAAGATAAAAAGCAAGGACATTAATTATAAGGAGCTCCAGACTTGCAAATTCTCTTCGTCCTCAGAGCTTCTTAATCATTTTCTTGTTGTTGTTGTTTTCTTTTTAGTTTAATTATGTCGAATTAACCCAGAATTCTATGCTCCTTACAGAGCGAGTGTCACAAGCGGGTGTGGCGAGCCCTGACTTTTTTAGCGGGCGTAGTTTTAGATTGAATTGAAAAAGTAGTCTCAGTTTGCTGTGGTTTTGTCTCCGTAGATCTTATTCCGATGCGTGATTGGCTGAACTTGACCACGTGTTGTCCAAATGCTGAACCAATCAAAACCAATAAGGGTCCTTCGCATGGGTGTTTCTTCTTCGTTGTCGTGCAAATGAAAGAAATCAGTTTATAACGCTGAAGGGGCCTGATTTGTTCATTGATTTAGAAATCAAATTATTGAATTAACCGTGAGGCGACTGTTATCCTTCGAGGTAGCTGCCAAGGAAGGCAGGGGTCGCACTGTGGCCTTATTTTTTTTATGTCGCGTCATAAGTTGTCCTACAAATATGTCGCGACATTTACACCACGGGAGTCATGGAGGTCGCAATTGTGCGACATAAAGGATATTTGAAACCAGACTATCAACTCAATATTTCACGCGCGAAAAGAGCACCAAATAAAACTTTGTAGACATGAAGCTTGTGCTAGTTTTATTAGCGACATTTCTTCATTCTCTGTTTAATTTGTTCAATGTACAAAACCTTATTGATTTGTACGCATTGTACAACACTCGCCAACGGCAAATGTTGGCTCTTGCCGCTTTAAACCGACGTCGACGGATGCGAAAAAATGGGAAAATATCTGCGAGCCAAAGGGTGAAAACAAGCCATTCCCATACTGAGAATAATCAGGTGAANGTACACACGTGGTCTTTGCAGAATTGCGAAAATCCAAATTTTTGCTAGTATTTCAGATTTGATCGAAATTGCGACAGAAGAAAAACATAAATTGTTATTTTAAGGCGATAAGACGAGATATGGCCTGCCTCGAGGCAGGACATTGGCATTTTTTATCTTTAGGTCCTTCGGACATAGTTATGTCTGGTTGCGACAAAAGGGTCGCACTTGTCGCAAGCACGCGATGACAGATTTTATGTCCAATGTAAACACCAAAAGCGTAAGTGCGACCCCTGCCGAAAGCCCAACTTCATGAAAAACAAACAAACAATCGATAACAACAACAAGGCAAAAATCAATCATCACCTGTCTCATCTTGAGACTTCAGCCACTGGTGTATGGCAGGTATCGCCTCCGGACGAACAACGTATGCAAAGTTCTGCAGGAAAGCATTGTTATCATTATCATTATTATTCATCCATTATTATTTTATATATTACAATCAGTGTCATTATCATTTTCATTATTATTAATGTTATCATTTTAACGCGTTTCTGATAGTTCAATAAAGTGAATAAAGGTTTAAAAAGCGAACAAGATTTTAAAATTCAAAACAAAGAGAAAACTGAGAACATAATGATAGATCTTTTACCTTTCTAATGTATCCGATATCTCCAGCGTCTAAACAACTCTCAACAATTCTTTTTTCTAAAAATAAGGGAAGGAATGACATGACAAACTGTATAACAGCTATGAACGCTTTTGAGTGGTATGTCATGAAATATCCTGCGAATGACTCTATTGTTTCCCACTCAAGCCAGTATCTAGGCGGTTGTGTGTCGCATTTTTCAGCAACATAGCTGAGCTTGAGGAACATAGAACAAATGTTACAAATGTGGCATGGTGAGTAGCCGGGAGAAGAAATCGATCTCCGGACCAGTGGCTTAACATTTTTAAAGATAGATTAAATTTTCGCGAACAAGATAACTTTGTTTACAGATTGTGTTACTTAGCTACTTGAATCAGTCTCTTGACTCTGGAGGAAAAACGATTTACTTCATTGATAAGTTAATTTGCTTAAGTCTTACCTTTCGAGGGTGTTCTGGAGACTAGAGAATCATACTTGTGTCCTGCGTCTTTAGAAATACAGAGAGGTAGCACTGTGCACTGGAAAATATTACAAATGTTAACCTTGGCGACGATAAAAAGAATAAGGTAACGGTGGTGGCAGGAGTTGTTGACTAGATTTGCATTCAATTAATATTTTGACTGTTGTGGGAGGTGCGGTAGCTTAACAATTAGCGTGTTAGATTCCGGTTGGATAGTTCTAAGATTTGGTTTTGGCAGCGTCATTGTCTTATGTTCTTGGACAGGATACTTTACTCGCACAATGCCTGATGTAGAAAATCTCTTTCTTTTCTAAATTTCAAATTTCATTTTCTACTTTCTCTCCACCCTTTGTAATGTTTTTGCATTCACGCTTGGTGATTTCATAAATTAACCAAACACGTCAAAGAGCTTTAACCTTGACATTGGAAACTGACGTGGACGTTTCGCGCGTATCTTGGTTGTTTTTTTGTTTTGTTTTGTTTTTTCTTTTAAGGGAATCAGTTTGGTTTTTGAGTTTTCGTTCACACCAATTTGTTATCCCTCAATTTTGGAATTTTAAGAAATTTTTGCAGTGTTTCTTTAAGCCAAATGTTCTGGTTATTTTAATAATAATAATAATAATAATAATAATAATAATAATTTAATATTTATATTGCGCAAATTAACATGTGGATATGATCAAATGCGCATCACAATACTTTTCGGGGAACTTTGGCCGGACTGCATCGGCAGTTTACAAACAACCGAAGGAAACTCATTTGAAGATGCCCCCTTCCCCCCAATTGCCAGTAAACAGGCCAGACCACCTCACAGTAATCTCATGAGTGGGTTCTTTAACGTTCCCTGCCTAACCAAATTAACTAATTAATAGATGCAAGAGACGGGACCTATGGTTTATTTGTCCTTATCCGAGAAGACTAGAGAGTGTATCCATTTCTTGATATTAAAGAAAGGTAGCTAATTCTCCTCAGTTATTTTAAGACCTTGAGTGTTGGTCCGGCCGGGACTCGAACCATCGACCTCGACCTCCCGCACAACAGTCCAGCGCTCTAACCAATTGAAGTTAATACATATTTTCTGCGGAGTTCGGACACTGGCCTCTTTTTTCGTTAGTGGATTTTTCACACCTCTCCCCAGTCCGGACCATCAGTGAGTGCCAAGCAATTCCCAGGGAAACCCTAAGTAATACAAATGCTTCAGTTGTTTATCTTGGGGAAAATAACAGTGCCCATGTTCGCTTCGAGTCAAGTTTTACGAAACTTGATCGTGGAAAAAATTGGGCCAGCAGGTGAGCCACTGGGCTGACAAGGTGACTTTTAACACCAGTTATGATAATAACGTTGGAGGGCCTAACACAGTCAACAGTCTTAGCAACACAAGTTTCAACGGTAACAACAACGCTTTGACTGAACTAGAAAACCTCATTTTGAGGCAACAGAGGTATCTCTAAAGTTAAAGCTAAGATTCATGATGAGAAATAAAAGTCAGCCATTGGATGTTTTTATTCACAGTTAAAACACTTCTCACCCTGCGAGGGCAACTGCGTTCCTCGTTTGGTTCGCCTTTCAGGCCAGCACTTTGAGGAAGTTTAGATCCTATGAAATAAAACGTTGTTCCAAACCCAAAGTGATAATTTGAAATTTGCGGAAATAATTTTTTGTTCAACTATCGAGTCTTACAAGGGAAGGTGAGGTTATACTTAAGGTGGCTGAACACAGTTTTTGATACCTTTGTTTCTTTCACTATTTTCTTTAAAACCCTTTATCTCTCGTTCACCAAAACTGGCAGCAAGCAAGTTAACAACATAAACTTTGTTTTTTCGTTAGTTAAGGTGACGTGTGTGCCGTTGCCATGGCGACACGAATAAATATAAATAGGCAATTAAAATCGGTTTTGTTACTTTGTAAAAAATCTAGTCATTAGATTTTCTTCATAATTTGCATGCAAGGAGATTGTAACGATACTCACAAGTTAACACCATTTAGCTAACAATTTAACAGAGAGGTCTTTGATTATACCTTGCTGAAGATTCACTCGATTTTCCAGAATTTCTTTTGTCTGAAATAGATACTCCAGTTACGCATTTCCTAAAGTATTTTTGTGCCATATTTCGTGAAATTCTGATGAGTGGTTCTCAAGAAATAGGCATATTTTCAAGAAAGCAATTTTCCATTCAATCGCAATTTTTTTACTTATTACGCATGCGCTACATTTAACCGATTTCTTTCGGTAACGAAGAAAAAGCTGAGAAATTGCTGGGTTCTTTGCACCGTTAAATTTTCTAACATATCTTTGTAATAAAAGATTAAAGCCCTCAATACACTGCGCCAACTATAGAGAAAAAATAGCACAGATAGTGCGGGTACGTGTTGAGTAAATAAAATGACCGCTCTATTGACGGCATGTTTGTTTTTTACAATCCATGCGCGCGCGCTGAATTTCATCAGCAAAAGGGCGCCCGAAAACTGGGTTCAGCCACCTTAATAACAATAAAATGACATTTTTTTCAAGTTCTGATCTCACTTTTCTTACTTGTTGGATAACAAGGAGAAAGAGAGCCAATTTCTTTACAAAGAACGTGCTTCTCTGAATCTGCGAAAAATATGAAAGATACATTGTCACAAAAGTAATCAGTACACATAACAGATTATCAACCAGGCCCCGGTTGTTCGAAGGATGCATAACGTTATACACTGGATAAATCTCTATCCGGCAGATAGCGCAGTACGTTTTGGTAACACTTATCCGCTGGATAGCGATTTATCCGTTGGATAGCGTTATCCGCCCTTTGAACAACCGGAGCCAGCAGACGTTTACAAAGATTGTTAAATCACCGAAAACAATACGTTTTAAAGGGAAACACGCTTACTAAATCTGCCAACGTACTCGTCGTAAAATCTTTCCTTGGTTTCCAAGAGTGACAAATTCAAGAAAGCTTTGTTTGCGTTCGAAGTTTTATGGGACGCTGGCGGTGCTGAAGGAATCCTCCAGTTGAGAAAATTCTGTATAAACGATAATCAGAAAATGGAGTACTGACGTAAAAGCCTATCGGTTTTCACTAACTTATCAAAAACTTCAAACTAACGGCAATTACAGAGTTCCCACAGGCTCCACTGTTGATCATCGGGTCTATAGAGTGATAAACTGCGCATAAATTAAATCATAAAAAACCTTCCCACCTTTTTTTCCAGCCTGGGCTTTCAGAATTCCGATTGTACATATAACGCCCTCTTCGATGATGATGTTTAGTTTTGTGTATCTCGTGATTTCATTGAAATCTTTTGGGTGTGGCTTCGAGACACGTCCATTGATGAATACTTAGATGACTAACCTGGGTTTTAGGATAGATTAAACTTTTCACCGTTTTCATTCTAGATGAAGTCGAATAACACACCCATACTTCAAATAAAATTTTTGGGGGGATGAAATTTATTTATTCTTTCTTTTAGTGATTCAGTTCCATGGTTTCAACAAAAAATGATTAATAAATTGATCTACAAACCTGAGATGGGTGTGGTCGATTTCTTCTTGTGACAGAGCAAGGTCTGGGTAGTGCTGGTTTTCCTTCTTTTTTAGCGAAGTCAATAACGTAGGACGTTAGTGCGGGGTCAATATCATCACTTTTACCGCTATTAGGATAAACATGCGCGGAAGAATCGTGGACCATTTTACGCTGCTGGGCCACGAAACATCCCGGAGGACTAAGTAACGATGTCATTTTGTTGAAATCGGAAGGAATGAGTATTAATTTCTTGGCTTTCGTACTATCGACATGGTCTGACTAGAATTAAACTTTGCGCATAATTATCGGATTTTACGAACGCGTCATAGTATATTAAGTTTACGTCATCAGTTCGATTTTTTATGGTATAATTTGCAGGAAGATTCCATTTTCACACTTGTTTGTTCATTTGTAGATCGTGGGAGACGTCAAAATACTTTGAGAACAACGAGAGACCCAAAGATGGCACTCATACCTTTGGCAAGTGAATTGCTGCATGCTGATCCTCTTTGCAATATTTTTACGCCCATCTTGATTTATAACCAAACATACGCACGAGAAATGGCGTCCACCTGCTGGTTTTGTGATGAAAAAGCAATCCGAAATCTTCCAAACGGTGTGCCATGTTGAGCAAAACAGCCGTTGTCAGCCTGTGTCTATATCCTGAGAGGTCATAGGCAACTACCACTCACACAGTGTATCAGAATTACAGATTACATTTTTCCCAAATAGTTAAATGACGGAAAAAGTACGTGTTAGGGCACTAAGTGTACGATATTTTAAAAAGAAAAAAACATCAAAGAGAATTCTCGCGTCGATTCATAACATAATGCTGACATTGGCCATTTTCACACTAGAGGACGGACAAATCGTCTGGCATTTGTTCGTCGAATTTGAATTCGAGAAGGCCATATGCCGAAAAGTTGTCCGTCTTAAAAGCGCAAAGAGAACTGGCACTAGGTCGTGTTGTAAAGCAAAATGGCTACCGCAATGTTGAAACTTCCCATAAAACCTCGCTCTGTTGCTAGTCCCATTTCTTCGTGGCGAGAAAATCGAAAATTTCACCGTCTGATATGAATCTACAGTGAAACGAACTCAACCGGGGCCACCTAAAGTTTTTTAGCCAATTACAAGACAAGTACGGAACAAAAGAATGGGAGTTCGTTCACCAGCGGTCAAATTAAACTGCTCATTTGACTGGAGTCGATGTGAAGACATGCGAAAGCTTCTAGTTTTTTTTTTACGGTGAAATAGATATGTTGTTTATTTCGTTTACGGTAAAAGCGAATAAATATTTACCTAATAGCGGCCGGTAATTTTGAAGACTGAACAGCCTCAACGTACGTAAGTAACGAATAATGCTGGGTAAACCAATGAAATTTATTTTTCGAAACACGGTCTGGAATGTCGGAGACAAGAACTTGTATAATTTACCGAGTATTGCTGCCGGGAATTTTGAAGACTGAACGAACTCAACGTAAATTTACCAAATTACGGCAGACTAAACTTTTAAAACAAAAATTTTTCGAAATAGGGTATGGAGTTTTGAAGAGGAAAGCTTGTATAACTTACCGAATTTTGGGGCCGGGAAGTTTGAAGACTGAAAGGACTCAGACTTAAAGAAATTTACTAAATTACGAACGAGTTAACTTATAAAATTTATATTTCGAAACACGGTCTGGAATGTCGAGGATGAAAGCTTATATAATTAGGGAGTTTAAGCAAATCACTACGGCTGGCGCTGCTACGGCTATCGTGGTTGACGAGGCTTGTGGAGAGTACGTCACCGTAGCCCGCCAAAATTCAACTTTAAGCAACGTAAACTACAAACCTAGTACGGCTGAGAAGTTTAAAACCAATAAATTAAGCGTCTTAGCGGTAGTTTTTGCACGTCTAAAAACTCAAAATGACTTCGTTGAAAGGGACGAGGGATTCCAACGTTTGGAAAAAAAATTGTAAGCGATCCTGTGCACTGTGAATGAGTGAATTAAAATATTTAAGCTTAAGTGTTGTAAAATTGCCAGTTTGGAGCTTATAAACACCAAAGCAAAGTTTCTACACGGTCCCTCATAACCCTCGTCATTCCTCGGCTTCAGCTATTTGAATTTCAAGTAGTCTTTGAGGTTTGAAAAGGAAAAGTTAGACTTTCTACCTACGCATTTCACTTTGCGTTCGCTGCGTTCTCCATGTGCACACTGCTTCGATCCTTCGACAAACCCGGCGGCAAAAATAAAGGCAGATTCACTCGGTAAGGGACAGCAAGCTTGATAAATATTCCCGATAAGCTATTTTTAAAGATGTAAAGTGTATTTCGATAGTTAAAATTGCTCAGGAGAATGTATAAAGCGAAGAAAGAAGCGAGATAAGTTCACGTACCACAGACTACGCCGAAACCTTCCCACTCGCGTAGAAGGATTTCCCGCTACTGCTGGATGGGTACCACTGACATGCGCAATGACTCGTTTCTGGACAATTTTACTTCTGGTAGCCGTAGCAGCGCCAGCCGTAGTGATTTGCTTAAACTCCCTATTGACGGAATAATGCGGCTGAGAATATTGAAGACCAAACGGACTTAATACAAATGTATTTGCGGAATTGGCACGGCCTGAGATTTTGAAGACGAAACGGTTTTACCTCAAATCAGTAAATGTTTGAAGTACTTCCCGACTTTCAAACTACAACGCAAACGGAATCAACCACCGGTGATACATGAAAAAACTAGATTTGAAATTTTCTTTGTCCTTGTGATTGGTTACTAAAATTCCCGGTAAAATTGTAGATACGACCGTTTTTCAATGATATTTTAAAAATATACTTGTGTTGAGCCGGTTTCGCCTTGAGGTTTAGCCGGCCGTAATTTGATATATTTATTTACATTGATCGAGCCCGTTTCGTGTTCAAAATTCGCGGCCGCAATATTCAGTAAATTACATAAGCTCTCGCCTTCGGCATTCCAGGCCGTGTTTCGGAAAATATATTGTATAAAGTGAGTCGGACGCAATTTGGTAAATTTAACTTAAGTCAGTTTAGTCTTCGAAATTACCGGCCGCCATTCGGTATATATTTATTCACCTTTACCGTAATAGAAATGAAAAATATATTTTTTTTGCTTTAAAAAAAAACTATAAGCTTTCGCATACCTTCACATCTGATCTAGTCAAACGAACAGTGAAATTTGACCCTAATAGTGATTGATCCGCTGATGAACAAACTTCAGTTTTTTTGTTCTAAACTGGTCTTGTGATTTGCTAAAAAACGTTGGGTGGCCCCGGTTGAGTTCGTGTCACTGCAAGTCGTACTTTCATCGACTTCTTCGTCTCGACGGCCAAATCGTCTTCGAAAAATAGTCTTTCCAGACGGCCAAATATCAGACGATTTGTTCGTCGAAAAATTTGGTAGTCCGGTTTCCCATCAGACGATTTGTTCGTCCAGACGATTGGTCCGTCCTCTAGTGTGAAAACGGCCATGCCAATTCAAAGAAGAAATTGTTTGGTTTTCAAGCCACGCGCACACAACGTGGCAAGTAGTATATGAGTCCGCGAGCGCAACAAGCCAGCAGATAATATCAAGGCAGTAAACACGATGGATGCAGCAAAGATGGCTACCACCTCTATGGTTGAAAAGTTTCGTGAAATTCAACTACTTCCCGAAATTTCGGTTGGTTGAAGCATTCTTTAGATACTATAATTATCAACCAGTGCATTAACAGTGGTTAAATTTGCTGTTTCAGGTTAATCTAGTCATAGGAATTATATTTATAACCGCGGTCATCTCGTTCATCTGTTGCATCAAGACATTTAGAAAGAAAGGTTAGTACTTGACGTAGCCTGCTTCTTTCCTATCGCTTTTTTCGTAGTTTTGTTTGACTTCAAACTAACCCTTATTTTCTATCTTTATTGCGTGGCAGTTAAAGTCCCAAATGAAGTTTCCGTCAACCAAGAGCCGAGATTTCGCAAACGTGATAAGATGATATTTTACGGCAAAAAATATCTACGCAAGGTTTGGACGACTATATCTTGTATCATTAACATACAGATTAATTTGAAAGCATGTATATCGAGACTCAGCATTAATTATATTGTTGGTTATCTAGCGCTACAGTCTCGGGCTTCGTTTGGTTGTTTTCCACTGTCAGGGCCAATCGGCTTTGCTAATATAATATTATTATCTCTCAAAACAATTGACTTACGCTCTCCAGGGAAGCCAGTTTGGGTTAAACAACTTTTGTACTATAGGAATACTTATCAAGAGTTACATTTGTCGTCTCCTTTTTAATTTTTGCTGGCTGAACGTACAGCACCATTGTAAGAGCCACACGAACAGCACTTTATACCCACTTAATGATGATAAATACCAATAAAAATTTAGGCAAACTTAAAGGCTCCTTCGCGATCAAAGGTTTCACTTTCACCCACACTTTTAGTGCATTTGTGTATAGAATGAGGATTGTTATTATTTGTATGTATTTTCTATAATTTTTTCTAAGGACCCTCCTTCCTGATCATATCAGTACAATTACTAAGGGAGTTATTTCATGATGGCTCCAGTAGGGTTCACTGAAAACTTTCTCATTTGAAAAGGCTTTCACATTCTCACAAGGTTCAATAATGAGGTTCATTAACTCTTTAAACCTGAAGAGTTACCAGTTTCTTAATTCTCTAAACAGTAATACTGCTGAGTCATATATTAAGATCATGAGAATAAAAGAAAACGTTTGCCAACCCAAGAAGCTTGGATTGTTTGACAAATTCTGTTTGTCAGTACCAAAGGGAATGTATAAAGAAGATCTGTTTGTTAGGGAGTAAAAGGTTATGAACATTCTGATACGTGTTTGTGTTTCCTGATCACATTACACGTAAGCTACTCCGTGGAAACTTGACGGAGAGCCGGGAAAAAGTTGTTGTACCATCAAGGAACTGTATCTCTATCAAAAATTAGTGACACAATTATGTGAATTGTGTTGATTTGTTTATTTAACAGGTTAAACAGCTCTCTCAGCCACAAGATGGTGGATATAGAAGGACTATTAGAAAAAAACAGAAAGTCATGTTTAACTTTGGAAAGGAGTAAGAAGAGTAATGTTAATTAAAACAAAAATTTTATTTTCATCATTTGACCCATTTTGTCCATGCACAGGTATTGGTTTAGGATCATATATTTACATATTACATAATATAATTTGCACTCTTGTTACATTTTTACACTTGTGTTACATAAAAAATGCGTGCATTTTCAGCCAATTAGACATGCATAATTTTTTTATGTATTTAATACCATTATTGGTCAATTTTGGTCACTTTGCTACTAGAAGAGAAGGGGAAAGAGGAAAGGGGGATGTTTGCACCCCTAAGTAAGAGCAACAACTGCTAATTCATTTCTCAGGATTACCTTGTATGTCTTAAAAAGTAAAATTGGCTAATATGGTTTATAATTTCCTTAACTAAGAAATTTTGAAACATTGTGTAATCTAACATGTCTGAAGCTCACCCTAACTTTTTTGAATAATGTGATGTTGTGTGTGGACTAAGGGACTGTTTGTGAAAAAAATGTAATAATTCGTGAATTTTAAAGGTACAGCTATGTTTCTGATTTACATGTAAGGTTTACTTATCCCTTCACTCTTGTGTGAATCTCTCTTTATAAAAGAGGCTTGAAAAGGAAAATTCATCAACCACTCCTACATTGCATTGGGCCATAGTTATCAGCTCTTTTGGTTTGTTTGTTTTTTATTAATATACAGGAAACAAGTTAGGGATTAGGGACTCTCAAATTTTATCTTTTGTATAATTTACATTTAGCAATGACGACCACTTGTAATAACTTTTTGAATGATGCCCAATTCTTTCAGTGTCTTTGCTGATGCAAGGACAGTGCTCCATCTTTACATAAACATTCCTTGTAGGTGTTTGCTGCTTCAAGGTTCAATAATCAGTGAATTTTATTAATAGGTGGCTAAAACACACATGTTACTCTGAATGTCTACTTGATGAGAAATCCCTTGTACTTTTTGAATATCTTTCAGTTCCAATTTCACCTGAGAAAAATAGTCTTTTATTATAAAAACTGCATGTATTCTGGTGAGAATTTTGTAGAATGTGTTTAACTAGTGCTTTCCTGGATACAATTGATAACCAGATTAGGTAATTAATCCAACTTCTGGTTGTTAGGGGTGGGGTTGATATATTGTTTAAAGAAATAGCAGCAGCCTTTTACCAGTTGTTAACAATGTAGCACCTGCTGTATTGTATAACAAACTTGCCTCTATGTGCAAAATGTTGAAGCTTAATGCAGTTAATTATTTATCACCCATCCACCAGCTGTCTACAAGCTTACCTGCTCACAGCTTTCTTTACATCCTGAATCTGGGTCTTACCCATGCAGAAACAAATCTTTGGTTGCAATTTTTTAACTACTGTAATTTGATATCAAGGAAATTTGCACCACTGCATTGAAAGAGCATTCTGGTTACTATTTTAGACAGTTCTGTCTGCACCAGTCATGTAGAATAGTTGCAAATCTAGCTGTCTTGTGAGTCCATGGAATCAATTCCAGATTTCACCTGGGATCTCTTTAGTACTTGCTTGGATTTTAATGTCTTTGAAACCTGTGTTACTTGGCCCTTTAGGTGAGGAGGAACCATGTTTAGTAACAGTGCACTAATCATGGCTTTATCTATTAAGCATGTACCTTATATTTTGTTTTATAAGGCAGCTGCTCTCTACAGAACTGAAAATATATTAAGCTTAATACATAACACTGCTTTTTAGGCTTTTTCTCACAAAAATTCCTCACTTTCATTTGTAATTTTTAAAATGTACCGCATTTTATTTGGTTAAGTAATCATACTTACAGTACATAACCTTTAAAATATTATATTAATCAATTTGGCTAATCAACCAACTGGTATGACAATTATTTGAAGACAATATGCAAAAACATGGAGTATAGTAGACTGAGCTGGTACTTTGTGTTTCCCCTGGTGATATTCAAGTGTTTGGGTCCCTATTTCCTGGAGATTTATGTTATTACATGTATCTTAGTCTTGTAATGTGATGTAATTACAGTAGTACTGCCCCCTTCATCCTGTGATGTTCATTTATAGGATTGTTTTATTTTAAAAAATTGTTTTACATCATGTTCTTTGTACATTTGATACTGCCATTTTCTTGAAAATGATTTCTTATCATTCCCTAAATTAAATTAAATTCAGGTCAGAAGGTCTCATAAAATAACGACAGTTTGTTTTGTTTGCCTTCCAAACTGAGCAAACAAGAAATTCAAATTTCTATTGTGTTCTATAGCTCTGAACACTGGGTTTGTGTCATGAAATAGTTTTTTCTTTTTTCAAATGAATGCTGTGAGTGTCAGGTCTGAGACTGAAGAGAAATATTATGAACTCTTCGCAAAACGTGCCACATCATATAGAATATCTGGAGACTTAGTAATTTTCCATCAATTTAACTTGTGACTTTTTAAGTTTATGATCAGTGTTTTTTTGAGAAAATGTATACAAATATATGAACTTTGCATGCTTGTCTTAGGCATGGATAATATTCCAGCTAAGTTTCCTGTTCATTTTCAGGCTTTTGAGGTTCGATAATAATGAGCCTGGAAGGCAACTGAAACAGCCACCGGCTGCATTCCTGGAGGCTGACCTGGCTGAGGTGAGACTTGAGAACACTTTGTTTTAAAACCTTGTTCAGAAGCAAATCAGGAAATCCAAACAAGCACTTTAATTCCAACACGGTAAACTGTAGACTCACGGTAAACGACAACGACCATTAAACAAAACTGCTACTCGATAAACTAAAAACTTTTCAACTCCACTCTAAAAAATCACACACGTCAAAATTAAATGGTCTGCGTGATTTGCTAAGGATATTATTAGCCTACGTAGTCCCAAAGCACACGCAAGTTCATTAACGTCTTCTTAACAAACCTAATCCTGATTTATAAATGTCTTGCCTTCCTCTCTGACAGAATTCATGCAGGATTTTTATGTGCAAAGGAATGTTACCTGTTTTAAGTGCCAAACTTCATTATGAAGCTAGTCTGCAAACATGTACATGTACCGTAACTATTCGAATAAATGCCACAGCATTTATTAAATTTTTGGCACTCAAGATGTGGCGTTTATTTGAGGGCGGCATTTATTCAAGAGAGGTGTTTAGAGCAAACCTTGTAACAACAACTGTGAATTTATTGTGTCATTTAAATGTCAATTTAACCAATACAATCAACCCCCAAAAAACTAAAAATAAAAGTTATATGTCTTTTCAATTTATATGATTATATATAAAAATTGAACTAGTAAGTTTCAGACTTTCAGTCTATTTCTGTCAATGTCTCTGTCTCCTTCGTGGTTTGAGTCTTAACTGCTGAATAATCAGGCATGCCTCTTCAACGATGAAAATGCAATTACAGTAGTGTTTCTAAACCTCCCGGTCCCAGCGGCACAAAGGAGCCGAATTTGAAGAAGACGCTTGCTGGCCACATCCCAATTGAGCTGTCTTGCTTATTAAATAACTTCCTGCATGCAAACACTGAGAACAACTTATTTGTGGAAGTTACTGGCAAAAGAAAGAGAGAAATCGGACTAAGTGTACCGGCAAGATTCTCGTCTGTTACCACAGAATTGTACATCGCAGAAGTTTTAGAGAGAGAGCTAAGCAGCAAAGCTGTGAAATACAACCACTTTGAACTGAATAACATTACAATAGAGCAAAATAAATTTCCACAACTGGTTTAGATTGAATGTTGTCTTTTGTTTTTAAAGATAGGTACTTGAATTGCTTACATTGGTTATAAATAATTGCTTCAAGTAAATGCCGCAATGTCGAGAAAGATTGCGGCATTTATTTGAGGGCGGCGTTTATTCAAGGGCGGTGTTTAATGATATTTTTGCTTGTCCCTGTGGCGTTTATTCGAGGGAGATGTTTATTCAAATAATTACGGTATGTGTAAAACCCACAAGAGCCTTCATGTGTATTTCTGATTACAGTTTTGTTGTTTCCTTGTGTAGGTTGATATCAATGAACCTCGTCTCCCTCCAGAGGTTGTATACATGCTGAAGAGTGTAAGGTAAATTCCACCATCTTAAATCTCTTCCATATCCATAATATTAAGGTCAGAGAGTTCTAAGGAACCTTTTTCACAATATTGACAGATTTTTGCTCTAAAGTTGAGAATCTTTAATAATATCCTGACTGTAGATTGAAGGGGAATTGAGGCATAGCATTGCCATAAGCTTGCTTACAATAAAGACATCTATGGTGTATGCACTTTCCAAAGGGGAAGGGAGTAATGGAGTTTAATATAAAGCCTACAATCAATGCTAAATAGATTGACTCAGTACATTTCAATTTGATGAAAATACAGGCAGTACACACTTTGACACCTACATTAGACAAAGTAACTCTGTTGATAGCTTTAAAAGGGTGTTGAAAACGTACCTGTTTTGTGAGAGCTTTTTCTTTTTGTTGTAAAATCATTGAGACATTTATATGTAGAATGCATTTTTAAGAACTGTAATTGAACTGTAGGAGATGTTAATTTCCCACACACGAGATTACTGTGTGATGGATGTCCTCCCCTGGGGTGGGATGGTTGGGATATTGGGCGCACTTAATTTGGAGCCTCGCTCTGTTGTGCGACCCTCACCATACTCTGGTGAAAGTGATTAAATTATTATTATCATTATTATTATCATTATTATTATCATTATTATTATCATTATTATTATCATTATTATTATCATTATTATTATCATTATTATTATTATTATTATTATTATTATTATTATTTAAAAACCTCATAACAGGTGGAGGGGCTCTGATGTCTTTCAAAATTTGGGAGATCAATTGAATCCTGAAATTTTTCTAGAAACATTCAACTTAAAAATTCTAATGGTAGGTTCAGACCTTATTTGAACTTCCAAAATTTGTATTTTCAATGACTATTTGTCAAATGCATGTTTTTCTGCTTTCTTAAAGGGTATTTGGTCATTTTGAGAAGCCCCTTTTCTTTGAGCTGTGCAAATATATCCAGACTAAATTTGTTCCAGCCAATGCTCTCCTATTTAGACCAGGACAGGTAAGGCAACTCATGAGTATTATAAACTACAGGTATACATGTACCTACCGTAAGCTGTAGTTCAGTTTAGCTCGCTGCACACCTTGACTTCTGCATTATCAATGATTAACAGTGCAACAACTGCACAATTAGTTAGCATCACAAGTAAACTGAAGTGTTAGTCATTTCCATTGAAGGCCATAAGTTGACATAGTTACATGCAAGGAAGACAATTTGCATGTTGACTTACCCGGTCAACTTTCCCAGCATTTTGTGCAGTTTCTTTCATAGCACCTGTCTTTCATTCCTACTCCCAAGGTGTAGTAGTTCTTCAAAGAGAAGAAGTGCATCTTAAATGTCCAGTTGAAGAATGCATGTGCATTTACAATGTGATTGCAAAGCTCAAATCATCGTGCGCACTCAACAGCACATACAGACATGTACATTGGGGCGCTGAATCACACCTGCTGCGTCGATATTAAACATTAAAATGATGTGGCTGTGTGATATGATCTTAAAATAGTGAGGAGGAAGATAACTTTCTTTTTCAGCATGATGATAGCATATACGTAGTCCAGAGTGGAAAACTCTCTGTCTCTATAATTGAGAAGGTTAGTGCTGAATATACTGTACACGTGTACTACTGGTACCAGGTAAATCATGTGCTGAAAGTAGTCACCAGACTAAGCTCCTAAGGTGGTGCTTAAGTCTAAACATATTTAAATGTCTTAAAGTATAACTTACACGTACAGGCATGTGTTTGTAATTCGGGCCACTAAAACATAATGTAGGATAGAAATGAAGGGACATCATGTGTATCAGGTAGTCTCAGTCGACATAGGTGTGGATTCATACGTTTTTATATCCACCGGCGATCGGTAAATCGGACGATGGTCGTTTCGGCCGAAAGTGAGCCCCTAGTCGACCGATGGTCGACGGACACTCCAACAATGGTCGGTTGAAGTTGAGGTTTAGTTGTAGGCCGACTACCGATCAAATGTCAGTCGACCATCGACCGATTGTGGCTCGACTGTCATCTGACTGTAGCCCGACTATTGCCTGACTATCGGCCGATGTATCGCTCGACTATCGGCCGACATATCGACCAGTAAATGAACAGATGATCTCCGATGGGTTGCCACACCTGCTAAGGTAATTTCAACTGAAATCATCAATTTGTGTATCATATTCTGCGTTTTTGCGTAAACAGGATGGCACAGAGGTGTGCATGAAGGAAGTTCTCACAGGAGAGAGCATCTACAGCGTGCTCACTATACTGAACGTTCTTACGGTAAGTCTACTGTCACGGGATTGTGTCGTTGCGTGTACAGTTTGTCCCCATTAGGACTTATATGAGTTGTAAACAATTGCATTAGCTTACTAAAGTAACCAAGGTATTTTGAAAAGGGCGTTGTTATAGGAAGAAATCAGATGCTAGTCGGTTAAAAGGCTTAAACTAGCTTTTTTTTATTCGTCTTTTTAGGGTTACCACATGGCTCTTCCCCAAATATGCTGTCGGGCAGTTGTGGACACTCACGTTCTCAGGTGACCTTTTTTTTTTTTTAAATATTTACCCATATCTGTGCGGCAAATGCAAGCCCATAATTAAGACAATTATTCGGCGAATTGAATGATATGAGTGATCACCGTCATGCGTGGGTCATTTTTTATGCGTAAAATATATATGAAGTTAGTTTAATTTATTATGCATCAAGTTTTCTATTTTTTGTTTCAATTTTGGATTATCTTTTAATATTTCTGGAATATAATTTTACACTTAGGTTGCCAGGCAAAGCTTTCCAAACAGTATTTGAACAGCATCCAGACTCTTTGGTCAGAGTTGTGCAGGTTTGTCAAACTGTTACGCCAATTCTAGCTCCCAAAGTTTCACGATGAATGGTAAAAAAAATATTTTTTAGCAGAAAAACGAAGCAGAACACGTTAAGAACTGAAAAATTCGAAAGTTTAAAATTTAGTTTATTTGCTTAAAGCTTGTGTGTCGCCCCTCTACAAGAGATTTTAAAACTCTTTATTGAATTAACGGTTCTTGGTCGACTCAAAAACGAGAAGAACCGTTATTCATGTTCCCTGAATTTTACTAGTGAAGTAAAAAAAACTCTTATAAGACCCCTGGAACAAGCTATTTCTGTCAACGTATGTAAATTTTAGAAGGAGCTTCAATCACTGGACCAATTGCATGTTCTACATTTAACTTAAGATAGGAATTTCACGACTGTAATGTCTTTCTTTTTTTTTTTTTCAGATTATTATGCTACGTCTTCAGCAAGTTACATTCATGGCGCTACACAACTTCCTGGGACTTAGCTACGAGCTCATCGCGAGTGTAAGTTTAATATTATTATTTCATTATCACTGTAGCTTCACTGAAAGGTCGGGGTGAATAAAGGAATCCGTTGCCATGAAGTTACTCAGTCTCACAGGTTTTTTTTTTGTGACATCTTCGCTCTTTAACCAAAAACTCTGTTACAGGGACAAAATGTAGTCCTTGGCTTTACTTTCAGCTGGTTCGCCGAATCCATGCAACTTTGTGTATTGCCTTATACCATGCATTGCTCAAGCAAACGGTGAAGCAATGAAAGTGCGACATTCTGAGTATTTACCTACTTACTTAAGCCCATCGCTCCTCCTGGAGCATAGGCCGCCGACAACATTCCGCCAGAGTGCTCTGTCCTGGGCTGCTCTTTCAAATTGTCTCCAGGTCTTTCTCATCTTCTTGATGTCGGCGTCGAGGTCACGGCGCCAGGTGTTTCTTGGCCGTCCTCATTCTGAGTATTTACCCTGGTAAATAAGTGTTTTCAGTGATTTTCATCAACACTCGAAACGCGGACTTGATGCAGTTTTCTAGATTCATGCTACAGAAACCGGAGTTAAGCACCGGCCTAATGGGCCACTAGGCTCGTAAACAGACTTTACCTTTACCTGTTACGAGAATTTGGTGTTAAATCAAGAGAACTTCTAATTGATTAGTTTGAGTATTCTCATTACTCGTTTGCTGGATTATATATAAATATTATGGGGAGAAGTTACATGCTAATCACTTCTGGCAGTTACAGGGTTAAAAGATCGGCCATAAAATGCGTCACCTGGCTCTAAACGTGTGGGGGAAAAACTTGTTCAAGAAATCGATCTTTTTTACACTTTTTCAGAGCCCGGCGTCGCGTCGGAGGCCGTCAATTTATGGCATCACATCTAGTCCAGTAAAAGGAAAGAAGACAGAAACTTCTGCAGGGAAAGAGAATCAAACGAAGACGACAAAGAAGATTCCTCTAGAAGTTGACTCTGGTGCGAGTAGCGGTGCAAGCACTAAGACAACAACGCCTGATTCAGCCGTCGGTATTCCTAAGGAGAAAGAAAATAAAGGTGCTCAGCTCGGACGTTCGTTTTACTTTATGTCTCGTCTGAAGTATCAGTTGTGTTCACAGCCCAAAGTACTTAAAGGCTGTTATCAAAAAGCTTTGAATAAGTGATAACAGCGCATAAATTTGTCTGGTCGGTGTAGTGGATGAGAAAGCAAGGATGAAATAAATTCTTCGAGAATGGCGCCTTTACGGTTTAATGATGACAATTTCCACTTAAAAAATTAATCCACGATCTGTTGATGTAAATGAAGCACTTCTTTGGGATACCGTCTCTCTTGAAACGTCAATGTTTTGTGTCGTGTTCTATTTCAACAGAGCCACGGGGAATCTTGGGTAAGGAAAACAGTAAGCCAATCCCAGTGAAGAAAGTGCCGTTACACAGAAGTGTTAGCTTCACGGAACCTGAGCACGAGCGAAAAGTTGACAAACAAATTGGACGCTGTAAGTCAGCAGCCACCCTGGAAACCATGTTGGGTTTTGGAAGCGATTCAGGTGAGTGCTGCCAATCACATCCCCTTGGATTTGTCTCCCATTTCTCGCTCTTTGTCTGTTCGTCGGTCTGTTTGTCTGAACGGCTTTTGGTCTTCAGGTTCAGCTGCCGGCCAATAGCGAAACTTTAAAGCCCTTACGTTTACGGCAAACGGTAAAAATTGTCTTTCGCCTTACAGCCGCTTTGTGCTGGAACGAAAGTGTTCGCTTTTGTTTTGTGTGTCGATGTAAATATCATTTAAAAAGTGAGTGATATAGGGGTTCACTCTTGCTGTGTGCCTTCGCTCAAATGCCATGCCTGAAGTCGCTATTAGTTACAATAAGTGGAAATGCTGTTAGCATATTATGCCGATCTTAAATTCCCTCCCTCAAATTGAACACAACGTGACCAATATCGATACACCTAAATTTACAAAGCAAGTCTTCGACCTATTCCTATGGTAGAATTACCTGGGAACTCAAAGCTTTCTCAGTGGTAGCGAACTTTAAGAGATGCGAAACCGTTTCTTCTTCACAGACCGCTCTGATTTTGACGCAGCCCTTGGCCGAGTGCGCTTAACCGGATTTCCAGAGTCACCTAGCCGCACAACCATTTTTGACCTTGAGGCCAGCGACACAGAAGGCAGCCCCCCTTCCTCCCTGGAGGGTCGGTTTGACTTCCCTGCACCTCCAGTGACTGAGGACCTGTCCAAACAGTTTCTTACCATGGACCCTGCAGAAGAAGACAAAATGATGAAGACAGCGGCAAGCGAGATTGCTAAGAGTCTTGACTTACCGGTACGAAAATTACCCCCAGGGGTATACAGTAGTGTAGTTGTCGCTTACAGTGCAGGCGTTAAATTACATAGTGCGACTTCAGTGATGTATAGTGGCGGCCGCTTCTCGGCCGATCGACCACCCTCGGGGTGGGGGAGAAATGTTTTTTTCCCTAACTTACATTCATCCAATTTTCTAGATTATTTTATTCATGAAAGTTTGATGGTAAGCGAACAATACCCCTGCGCCATTGGCTTTTATTCTTTGACCTTCATTTGCTCGTTATTCAACGAAGCTTATTGGTAGCTGAGTGTTGATCTTGTTAATTCTTCAGGATTCCTCACTGCTAGAAGGACTTCTCTCAGTTGCATGTATTCCTTCCGGAACAGTCCTTATCAAGCAAGGAGACGCGGTAAGCGAAATTTGTCTTTTTTTTTTTTTCTCCTATCTGAAACCCTTTTTTTTTTTATTTTACTTCGGTTTCTTCGTTGAAAGTTTACCAATAGAGTTCTAACAAGGCCCGGGTTTCTCATTGACAGGACTGTAGTCTGTATTTTGTGGTGACCAACTCCTTGGAAGTAACGCAGAAAAGTCTCAGCGGCGACCAAGAGGTAATTAAAACGTTCAATCTGTTATTGGTGTCGTTGTTTGTACCAATCGCCATTTGCGTTAGTGATATACAGAATCTAAGGAATAAGCGTCTCATCCTCTTCCTCCCTCCCCCCTCCCATTGCATTGCCTTTTTTTTTTCTCTCAGTTTGGTGTTATCCTTTTATACTCCCGGTGGGAGAGAGACACTAGGGACCTTAAGCAAACCACGACGGTGACGGCAACGAGGACGTGGAGAAACAAAAGATCTAATTGGCAGAACAATAGCTCAACACGTGCATTTTAAAACTTAGTACATTTCTTAGCCGTCCTTTGCAAAACAACAACGTGAAATCACCAAACTTTGCGTCGTCTTTTAACCGAAACCGTGATGGCAAATTATTTTAATTTCCATTTCGAACTCAACGCTACTTTTATACGTTATGTTGAGGTTGAGTTGTGGCGCCGTAAGAGATGGTAAATACATGCAGCCATTTTCGAAATTCTGATTAAAAGGAGAGATTTATTTTTTAATCGATATCTTCCTTGGCGTTGCCGTCCTGACTGCTTAAGGTCCCTACTGTGAAATTTAAGTGTCTTGGCAAAGAACAAAGCAAAATAATACTATGTGGTTGTCCCTGATTTCATCTAGATAAATGTTCTAATAAAAAAGAACAGAAACTTGTGTCATGGTTGATAGAAGAAAGGAAACTGTCTTCCGTACAGTCTTTATTCGTGGAGACCATAGTCAGCCGCCTCAACGATTTAATTTGTTTTTGGTGTTTAATATCATTCTCAGTACCACCTGTACACAGCCCACCCCGGTGAGTTTGTTGGCGTGTTGGCAGTTGTTACGGGAGAACCTTCCTTCTTTACTGTCAAGGCAACCGACCGATGTCACGTGGTTATCATAAGCAAGGCCAACTTTTACAAGTAAGTGACAAGATAGACTGAGTCGGGAGGTAAAGGGTTAACATTATCCAGGGTTAGTGTAAATTTTGATTTTAGATCTGAGAGCTTTAAAAGATTATCCAGTTTAATTGTTTTAGTCTACCATGTGATGATTGGATGCGCAAAAAAGAATATGAAAAAATTCATTCCAAAAAGGCTCTTGAACAGAGAAATGCATACATCTGGATGAATATTGAACTCTAGGTTAGCGCATATCGGCCCTCGAACAGCCAACTGGGCCTAGATTTAATACTTCCGCCCCACTCTTTTGTTGTTCGCCTCGACTCTCGTGCCCAATACTCTCACGGTTCTTTAAGAGTAAAACTTTCAAGTTTTTCTGGGGTGGCGACGGAGAACAGGTGAATCCTGTCTACCCCACCCAACCACTCTGCCTTTGCTTTGAACCTTGTGTCCATTTCTTCCGTGATTCTACTTACTTATTACGATCAACTTACAACCAGTAAAATATTAAAAAGAAAAATGTCAACGTAAACGTTAAAAATCTTCTTACTCAGTAATCTCAAAACTGTTTACCGAAGTAAGTCATCGGACGGTGATAATAATTTCGCGATGTGTGATATGAGGTTGCAATTTTTTTTTAAATGAGCTTATGGATCTCTTGTTAGTGGGGTTGTTCATTTCATGCATTTATTCATTTCTTCTATTCTTTTTTATCGCGCTACGAGGTCAGGCGCTCCATTAGCAAAAATTTTACTGCCGATTGCATGTCAACAGTTTTATATTAGATTCAGAATGTTGTTGTATTGTTTGCTAGCAAAGAATCGGAATTAGTACTTCCGACACGGAAACATCTGATTGATTTCTCGCGCCCAGATTTCGTTTGCAAGGGCGATGACCTCTCGAGGATAAAAGATGAGTTATTAGTACTTCGAAAAAGTAGCAAAGAGTTGCCAAGAAGAAATTTTTCCCGTTTAAGTTTTTCTTCCCGGTGCATTTTCTTGTTGCGCACGTGTCTTCAAAGGTCGTCTTAACGACTCATGTTTATGTAGACCTCCGGTCACTCTAACTAATTGTTTAAAAACATCAATGTCAGATCCTTGCCTGGCGTTTGAACACTTTTGTCGAATGACCGCCCCCATAAAGTAAAGGTTTGCTGATTCTAAGAGCCTATGTCTGCAAGCTGTCAAAGACGTGCCCAAAAACAGCCGAAAAAATAGCCGAGCCATTTATTTCAGCATTATTTGATAAAACGTTTGTTATTTTTACAGTAAGGCTTTCTCGAAACAGTTGTCATCAGCATATCTCTTTTGTAGTCAATGACCGGATTGAATTTAAAAATGAAAAATAATCTCGTCGAAGCTTTAGTATAATTTGATTAGGCCGCGGATTCGTCATTATAGCGTAGGCGTTTTTACCGTTGTTGATAAAACATGCGTTTGCTGTGTATTGTTTTAATGCCTAGAGTTAAAATGAAAGGAGATCCGAAAGCAGAAACTTCGTTTTACTTAAACAGATTTATTTTCTTGTAAGCTAGATAACATTTACATGAAAAATAAGCATTCATGATACCTTCACTGTTTTAAGAAAACATTTCAGCAAATAAGATGTTAAATGAAATGACTGGTTTTTACTTCACGTCCACTCTTTTCGTAGCTTTTTTCCTAAAAGAAATTCGTTTAGTTGCGAAAGTGCGTTTCATTGCCTTCCTGAATTCATCATTTCGTAGTGAATATAACCATGGATTTATTCCGGATGAAGAAAACGCTATTAACTCAGCCCAGAGCCAAACAGAACGCATTTTTCGCTTCAAGCAGTGATCACTCGTTGTCAAATGGATAAAAGACGTGACCAGACTTGGTAACCACGAAATGATGAACAACGCCACGACAAAGCCTACCGTCTTGGCTGTTTTTCGGTTTCGAACTCCCTCGATGACGAGCTCTACGCCTCGTTGGACATTGTGCTTTGCAATTATTACATATTGTTGTTTGGCAACCTCCAAAATCCGGTAGTAGCAAAAAATGATCAAAATCATCGGGATAAGAATAGTCACTACCGTCACACACATCCATAGTGCCGGTAAATTTGCAGGGTCTGTGACAAAGAACCGTGAAAGTCCAAACGCTAGAGATGCGAGCCATACAAATGCTACCGCCATGCAACATCTTCTTGTTGTGACGATCTGATTGTACAGAAGGGCCGACTGTACTGCAATGTATCTGTCCAAGCTTACAATGCACAAGTTAAACGTGGTGGTTACACTCGTTTGAATCCAGAGCGAGTCGATGGCGATTTTAAACGGATTATGATACGGACGCCGTGGTAATACGCACCTCGCAATCCACAGCGGATCGATGACTAGCCCCACTAAAAGATCTGCCATTGCTAACGAGCTCAGTAAAAGGTTAGAAAAAGTTCTGACGGTGCGAGCTTTGTAGATGACCCACAGAAACGTTACGTTTCCAAGGATGGCGGGTAGCGCTGCCACGCCGTATAATGAAGCCAGAGTAATCGATATTGAAAGCTTTAACTCTGTTCCAAAACATGGATTCGCCATATTCTATTGATCCAGTTTCAGTTTAGACTGGTCAATGTTTCAATTGATGCGAGACCACCTGCAAAGTCGAGGAACTGAGCGCCTGAACTTGACACCCCTTTCTTTCTGCGCTTTTTGGTTGTCGGTGATTGACACGGTTTGAACAAACCGTCTTCCACGGTTAAACTGCCCAGTCGTAAATCAGACTTAAAATATCTTTTTATGCGAACTTGAAAGGCAAACTGAATTGCAGCTGGTACCTTCCATTTCTAACACAATGTAGAATTTCCTTCACACAAAACTCATTTAGCTGCTTCTTGTTGGCGGTTTTCGCTCAAAGAACTCCTTTAAAACTGGCATTGGCGTGGGCGTTTTTCGGTAAAGTAAAAAAAAAAAGAAAGAATTCTATCATGATTTTCATAAAAAGACGTCATAGTGAAAAAAAAAGCGCCATTAACATCTGCCTAAATGCTTACACGCTGGGGTTTCGCTCTCCTAAAATTCACAGATAGCCATAATTCTTCCTCAACAAAGCATACAGTGTCATATTTCTTCCTTTCGAATGGTAAGACACTTGTGTTCCGTTCTCACATTTTACAAGAACGGATTACTCCATAAACGCACAGTGGAAACGATATCGAGATGCTGGGTGGCTCCAAAGGGAATGGTTGTACCTTGAGGTTTTATTCTCAAAATTCGTATTTGGAATTGTTCCTTTGAAGAGAACTCAGTTTCACACTAGTATAGCTTCCATTTTAATAATTATATTTTAGCATTTCCTTCTCACATGTACGCGAGAACGTGTTATGTGAAATAGAATATTAAATTGTTGAGAAAGTTACGCGATGACTTTTAAATAAGTGATTACACATTGGGGTTTCACTCTCAAAATTCATGGTTTGAATCTTATCTAATGTTTCGCTTTCGCACTTTTTCCCAAGAGTACAGCGCTTATTTATTTATTTTTGCAAACAGTACAATTTTCAGTGAGAGAACTGCTGGGTAGCTTTTATTGGTCAGACAATTCAATAACGAATGCCTTGTTGGGAATTTTTCCCCAGCACAATTTAATAGTGCCAGAAAGGGCCCACTCTCAGATTAGCATAATGGATGGAATCGGAGGAAAAACGCTTCTCAGTTGCTTCTCAGTGTATTAATCATATCTCTTTTAATAATGTGAACTCTTCCCTTTTTCCTTACCGTGGCCCGGAAAGAATTAGACCAACGATCGAGTTTTCACGTGCACTCCTTACATTGTCATTAGCATATATTTCTAAAGAAAAAGCACTCAGTGTCATATAACGAATGGAAAGTGCCTTGCTGTTTGAAAAATTACACCGAGTCCGCCCCTCGTAAAAGGTGTAAAGGTCCTTTGCAGGATTAAAGTCAAACTTCTGATTTGATGAAATTGGAAAACATTGAATCTTTTTTTTTTTTTTAATTCGATTTTTTTTTTCCGTTTTTGTGTAACGGTTGTTCAAAAACGCAAGATGAGAAACGGGTTAGGGTTGCTTACAAACAGACGGGTGGACAGACAGTCACGCAGATGCGCTGACAGACGGATTGATAAATTGCTAGATTGACTGATTGATTCATACATTGATTTGATTCTGTGTTTCAGCGTTATTCGTCACAAGCCTAGAGTCATTTTGAACGTGGCTCATTCCCTTATTAGTCATCTTTCTCCTTTCCTGAGACAAATCGACTACGCTTTGGACTGGATGCATGTAGAAGCCGGTAGAGCAGTGTACAGGTAAAGTTGTTGCGTTTTACATAAATTCTATGAAGTCAATAAACACATGCGTTTAGAGCTCGTAATTGAAACTAGAACCTTAAATTTAAAGTATCCAAACCGTGATATTTCTCTCGTGTGCTCTCATTAAAGAGAATAAACGCGTTCTGTTAATTGTCTTTCAGGCAAGGCGAACAATCGAACTGTATTTACATTGTGTTAAATGGCCGCCTTCGTTCAGTAGTGACATCAAGCAATGGCAAGAAAGAACTCGATCGCGAGGCTGGCCGCGGAGAACTGGTGGGAGTGGTGAGTAAATTTGCTTATGTCAACTTTGTCAGGGGACCATGATGAATCTCGTTCCAGGGCCATTTGTGTCCTCTACCTTCATAAATAGGATTGCGAAGGACCAAGAGAACATTGAACCAGGAGACTCAAATCCCCGTGTAGGCCTAATAGCTAAGACTTAGTTCTTTTAAGATTATTTCTAGATTATTCTCTTTTTCGAAGACTCCAAGGATCTCGAAATAATCATGCCTGTGTCGCGAATTTTTATCACGTCGAACATCCCATGGTGCGTTAATTTGTTTTTTCATGCGAGTTTATGTGTTTTACCATTATTCTCGCGAGACCTGATACTTGAACTGTTTAGAAAATTCAATCCCTTTACTTTATTGTTTTGGCGAGAGAGATCGTATCTGTTGTTGTTTGTGGACAAGCAGAAGAAAACTCGAGATTGTCGAAAGAAGAATTTTCGACTTTCCTGTTTTTACCTTTGAAATTTCAATAGACCAATTTCGATATATTTCAACGTGAGAGACTGGTAGCGAAACTTGAACACCCAAGCGAGGCTCCGGGGAACAAAATTCATTCGAATGCAGCTTTGGTTGCTCACATCTTCGAGCAGAAACTGCTTTCTTGGGTTATTATCGTTTTTATAGTGTAAATTCGTAGTTTCTTCGAGTTGAAAGTAAATCGAAGTAATCATCGTTGTCATGGCCACGTCGGAAAAAAAAAATGAGATCAATCTACAATACTTTCAGCGTCAAAAGTTGCCGTGGTTGCGAACCTTCCTTCAAGGAAGAGGGATACAAACATCCTCGGAAGGAAAGTGTAAAAGAAAGGCCGAGTTGGTTGAGCTTGCGTTTAATGCTCATTCAATGAAGCTCCCGAAAGTGACGGAAGGGGAAAGTGAAAATGAAAATCATATCATGGCCGAATCACTTGCCACAGACGAGGGTGTTTTGCCAGACCCTGCATCCATATTGAAATCGAACTGGAGTAGGAACCTCGATATTTCCAGAAGTCACCTTCCCAGATATATGCGACTATCTCCTCCCTCCTGCACTGTTCCAGGTCAGTTACCAAGTAGTCTATTTCATCAGCTGTCAAGTCTGTTTGACATGCCGTAGAACATTTACCTTTCGGAAGCGTAGTATCAGAACCGTTCGAGTTACTTTTCGGTGTTGCTTGTTCCTGGCTGCAAAAGTACGAGTGATCATGGTTTACTGAAATCGCATCAGCACTAAAATCCACGCAAGTCTCATTGGAGTCCTCATGGAGCTTTCTGGGACAAACTTTCTTGGCTTGCGGTTGTTCATCACACTGTGCCTTCCTATCGGCAAGACGTTTCGAACGTGAACTCACAGTATTAGTAGATTTCGTTGGATCAAAGATAGTCGGATAGCAGTCTAAACGTACACTTTTTCTACCAGAAATTGAAATCTCGATGTCGCTTTCCTTAAAATGCAAGGAACAGATTCGTGGATCGCCCAGTGCCTTGAATTTTTTATCTGCTCGCTTACAGAAAACTTCCCACTTCTTACGCTCATTGGGCCTTGTAGGAAAGCAAAAATAACTGAGATCCGATCTTTTACGTATGATGCACGATCCTCGCAGTAGAGAGCGTTATTTATGCAATAGCGAAAATCAGACCTGAAAAAAATCAGGCCTGTACGGGATTCGAACCGCAGTTCAAAATATATGAACTTCATATATACATTGTATCTGATTTATCATCACGAGTTTATTACGAATCAACTTAACGGCCTGCTCCCAGTTGGCTTGTTAGCTCAATTGGTAGAGCGCTGCACTAGTATCGCAGAGYTCAGTGGTTCGAATCKCGTAGAGSCCTGATTTTTTTCAGGTCTGATTTTCGCTATTGCATAAATAGCGCTCTCTACTGCGAGGATCGTGTATCATACGTATCTAATACCGCAGTTCAAAATATATGAACTTCATATATACTTTGTATCTGATTTATCATCACGGGTTTATTACGAATCAACTTAACGGCCTGCTCCCAGTTGGCTTGTTAGCTCAATTGGTAGAGCGCTGCACTAGTATCGCAGAGGTCAGTGGTTCGAATCACGTACAGGCCTGATTTTTTTCAGGTCTGATTTTCGCTATTGCATAAATAGCGCTCTCTACTGCGAGGATCGTGCATCATACGTATCTAATACCGCAGTTCAAAATATATGAACTTCATATATACATTGTATCCGATCTTTTCTTACTCCCATTGCGGCAAAGCGCAACAGCACAATACTTTACCATGCTACACGCGAAGATGAACAGCAATGGACCAAAATAAAAACAAAAAATCGAAAATATACCCTATTTATCAATCGCACATGGCTATCCTTGTAGTGGTGTGTTTGTTTTTATTATTCGCGCCGTATTCCCCGGAGCCTCGCTTCGGTGTTGGAGTTTCGTCACCAGTCTGTCACGTTGAAAAATATCGAAATTGGTCTATTGTTTGACTATTTTTCCTTCACCCTACCGACATCGCTTATCTGACTCTTTTTGAGGGTTCCCAAAGCGATTCGCATGCAAAAACAGTCAAGGCAAAGCTATTCATTCGAGGGCATGGTCGATGTTTTAAACGAATTTTACCTCTCTGCTGTTATTGACATACATATATCAATGATGTGGGTCTTTTCGTTGTTTACAGGTTGAGGTGCTTACACAAGCTCCGAGGGCGACAACAGTTCACGCTATTCGGTTGGTAGATCCTTTTTTAAATATGCTTGATTTTATGAAGGGCTGTTTATTCTCTACATCTACATCTAAATTATATTCTGAAGCAGCAATTGCGACCGCACACAATACAACTACGGCAAAAGAAGCGAAGTAAAGGCACAAAACTGAACTGCATGTTGAAAACAATTTACCAACATAACAGAGCAAAACAACTGAAGTGTGATTAAGTGCTATCTTTATGTTTATTAACCGGACGTCACTGATAAAAAAAGGTTTTCTAATCGTGTTGTCTGATCTTATGATTGACATCAGTCCACAAAATATTTGGTTGACGTCTTGACAACCTGAGCAGAGGTCAATATATAGTTTGTCATTAGTTGACTGTAGGGGAGGGGTAGGTGTGTAGTTGTTCAGATACTGATATTGATCCAATGTCGGTACCTGAGAAACTGCGCACACACCCCTCCCCTAACCCAACATCAACCTTGACTTGTTATCAGTTGATTGTAGGGGAGTAGGGGAGGGGTGGGTGTGCAGTTGTTCAGATACTGATATTGATCCAAAGTTAGTACCTGAAAAACTACCCACCTACCCCTCCCCAAACCCAACATCAACCCTAACTTGTCATCAGTTGTCTGTCGTTGGCTTAGGGGTGGGGTAGGGGTGGGGTAGGTGTGCAGTTGTTCAGATACTGATATTGATCCAAAGCAGGAGCCCATCACTTGGAGCAAGCAACTAGCCCGCATTCCTGTCACGGCGTTTTCACAGACCACTCTATTTTTAGTTTGAATTTTCCGCGAATTCTAAAACGCAATGACCAATCACAAGCACGGACTTAATTTTCAACTGACGTCATCATTTCACCGGAAGAAGAAAAAGAAGAAACAAAATGGTGGAGATAGGCGAGGAATCCTCTCATAGTTCTAGTCCTTCTAGTGTAGATTCCAGAAAAGATTTTGAAAGTAGCAGTTCAGAAGAAAGCGGGAATGAAGACGAACCTTATGCGTGCTCGATTTCGCCTCCGTCAGGTTCAAAAAGGACGAAGAACGATAGCCAGCCTCGATCAATGGGGAAGGCAACAGAAAAACAACAACAAAAGAAGAACAATAACCAAAAGTTTAGTTTAAATAACGACGAACTAGAAGGACTGACCTCCTGGACATTTTCAACGCAAGAGGCCGCTCAAGTGGAAACTGAAATTCGCCCGCAAGTTGCCGGCAGTCCACGCGTGAAAGTATTTTCCAGAAAGGGAACGCTTTACAAAGCATAGGCTAAGCGAGGAACAAAAGGCGAATTTTCGGCTTCTCATCGCTGGATTTTGTCGCAAATTTGCAACACTTGCGAGTGACTGCTCTAAGCTACCAGATAAGCTAAATAGGAAAGTTGTATTCTCAGCAGCGTGGATGAAATTACTATCAAATTTTCGATCTGGAAAGTCTTCCTAGGAGCGGTTAATTGTTAAAATATTTTTAGTCGGCGAACATTTCAACATGCAAACACGCGCATTAATGAGTTCATGAATGCTAAGGTCGAGAGAGACCTCAAGAAGGACGGCAAGGTTGTGGACGCAGATGAAATGCTCGGACCTAAACTAAAGTCATACACATTGTCTACCAAACGCAAGTAAGTGTGTTCTGCTATTATTGTGACGATATTGCATTGTCTTAGCGTTTAATCAGATTTCAGTATTTACACGTGTGCGCCAACTTGACTTATACTCTCAGATTTTTATCTTCATGGCTGCTTGTGAGTTGCTTGTGCGTTCACAATGTTCTAATTAAACTAGTTGAAGTTTGAGAACGTGAGCTGATTCTTTATAGTTATGTAACTTTGCATAATTATTTGCAAGCAAGTTAATGAACACTCTTATGTTGTTTTCCAAGGTCATAACATATTTATTATGTATCATGTTTTACAATTGTTGAATAGCTCCTTGACAAAATTTCAGCAATTCGAGAATAGAAACTGGGCCCATAAGAAATATTCATTGATTCTCGACTTGTATTTTTTTTGACTATATTGGAATTATTTACCTTATATATTTCACCCAGTTTAGGGTCCCCAGATCTAGAGTGAGATTCTGATTTTTGTGCAGGCAATTGGCATGTTCAGTGATAGCTTTCTTGCGATCATTTGCCATGATGATCATGCCACCCCCATTGCTGTTCACATGCTGATGGCTATCAATAATGGCACAAAGGCCATTGCTCTTGACGAAAACCCCCCACAGTCATATTTTGTGAAGTCATCACACCATAGTTGTCTGTATGTGACACCTGGATCACTCCATTGATGTGGTCAACTAAATCCTGAAATTCATTAGCATTTGTAAATGCAAATATTTGATCAGCTGATTCTAGGCTAAATAAATCCCCTACTGTATTGACGATATCTTCTACATCAAGATAAACAGCAGTATTGCTATACAGGTCATCATAAATCTCATTTCCATCACAGATGGCATTAACAAAGGAATTAAACCACAAATCTGGAAGTTGATTCCAGAGAAGTGACAAATCTAATTTATTCTGGAGGCAGTAAGCACTGAATTTCACTGCAATTAGGGTACATGCATTGCTGCCAAACCCATCTCCAATTGTGGACTGGGAAATGCTTGTTGGGAAAGTGAAGATGCAGAGGCAATTTGACAACCTTTGACAGGGTATCACCAAGTTGCTTGTGGAACATGCAACATTAGCAGCAGCAGTGCCATTAATATTCAAAACCACATCTCTATAACCCTTTTCAGAGTTTTTATTCTGTATCATGTCCTTTCTATTGATCAGTTTCCCAAGAGAAGGACCATAGGATAGGGAAGACAAGTTTCCTCCACTGGAAAACTTGAGGATGCTATAAATTGATTCAATAGCACTTCCATTTATGCGGAGTGGACTAATAAAATATTTGCCTTTTGGAGCAACATTGTCAAAAAACCAGTCACAGAATGACAGAAAGCCACTGACCACAAGGCGAAGAAGATCCCCAGTCTAAAAAAGAGAAATAAAAAATTAGTGAAGGATGAAATGGATATCCAGTCGGTTGTATGCTTGTTCAGTTATGAAAGTTATCTAAACTTGCCAGCGAGCTGACTTGTGAGAATTCTTCAGTCAGTAGTTAATCGGCAAACAAAACGTTTCATGAAGGGGATTCTTGGCCAAACCAATAGATACCTGCCATGCTAAAAACTTCTTCTGTCAGGCTTTCTTGGAATTGTCTGTGTATACTGCAATCAATGAGGTGTAGAATAATTCCGTAAACTGAGTATTTTTCTTTAATATATTTCATTTATATTTCCGATCAACTTGTCTTGGCATACAGAGAAAGTATTTTAAACATAGATCACCTTTTTATCATGCTGAATGCAAGTGGCTTATAGAGCTAATAGAGGTGGCAGCTTAATGGGCTTTTCAATTCACTGTATGGGTACCAACGACAGTTTCAGAAAGAAGTGGAAAAGAGAGCTTATTATAAATTTTTGCCTGTGTTTCAATACTTGAAATACAGTAATTATTGTTACTGCAGGCTCCAGCAATTAATATACCTGTAGCATCATGTACAGCACACCATTCTTCAAAGAAAGACATCCCCCTCTTAATATTGGCCAGAACTGGGCTGTCTCTGTTGTTGATCCTCCGCCTGCTGAGAGTCCTTGTTCAAAAAGTAGGTTGCAAGCATCTAAGTATGCTGCTGTCTTCCCACTTGCCTCCTGGTTTGGTTCTCTGGCAAGATCTTGAATAGCAGCGATCATAAACCGTTGCTACAATAATAAAGCTCTAATATTAGGAAAAATATTCCATGGTATAAGCCATTTATTTTTAGAATATTTTTGCGTGTGTGTTATTGTTCAACATGACACAATATGTTTCGCTCCGACGAAGGGCTAACGCTCGAAACGTCAGCTTTTATAACCGTAACGGTGGCCAATTTACCATTTCAACTTTGTTGATATAATCAAATTATTATATTATTATGACACTATGTCCCAACCAGAATTGCGGCATATCCAAGTGAAATTGTGGTATGGCCAGATGTTCATGTTTTCAAGAAAGTAATGAAATACCTGCATTATTTTGGCTGGCCGTACATTCAAACGTGAGCTTGTTCGGCTTGTTTCTGTGCAATCCTGCAGCGTAAAATATTATTTATGGAGGTCGAGGTGTTCGAGGATGAAGACTCATTCACAACTTGCTTGCGTAGCTCCTTGTTTCGACATTCTCGATCATGATTATCGCTTGAATTATGCCGCTTCATTATTTATCAAACACTTTTTACAGCATTATAAAACACAGGAACAACGTCCGAAAAGGGATAAAGTTTGAGCAAAAAGAAAACCCCGAAATAGACACTGCGACTTCACCCTGAGGGTGAGTCACTACGATCGATAATTTTTCCATTTTTGCCATTTTTCCATCTCTCTGCAAGTTGAAAGTGTGATACATATGGCAAAGGATTGTGGGAGGTTGATTGTGAAGAAAGGGAGGAATGGAACAAGGTAATGGAGAGAGAATTGGTGCATTCGGCGTATTTCTTATCACTGTGTCGACAAGTCCACCTGAAGCTGTCGTTTTGTTCTTACCGATCCGCACTGACGTAGACCGAAAGTCACCTATTTCGCGGGAAAAAAATAGCCTAAAAATAGACTGGTCTCTAAAAATGCCGTGACACAGGCTCATTATGGTAGTTACTTGCTCCAAGTGATGGGCTCCAGTCCAAAGTTAGTACCTGAAAAACTGGGCACCCACCCCTCCCCTGACCCAACATCAACCCTAACTTGCCATCAGTTGACTGTCGTTGGGCTAGGGGAGGGGTAGGTGCGCAGTTGCTCAGATACCAATATTGGACCGTCATGGGGCAATACTGAGCAACACAGACATTGATCCGTCATCATCAGAGTCACCTTGTTTTAATGATAACTTCCGCTCTAGTTGTGGAGACGTCAAACATTGTCACCGGCATCAGTCCTTATAAGGACTACGCTCAATCGTAAGATTCGACCACAAAGTCAATTTTTACCACTAAGGTCGAACCATCCATTAAAGATTATTTTTGGTAATAACAATCACTCGATTAGCATAAAAGTCGTCATTATCGCTCTCAAGACTGCAACGGAGGTATCTTGTTGTAAACTTATCATATTTCCGCACACAGGGACACTGAGCTAGCAGTTCTTCCCGATGGGTTGTTAAACACAATCAAGAGACATTTCCCTCAGGTAAACTTGTTACTGTCATTTAACAGATTGGCCAACACCGCGTTTTATTCTGCTGTCAGTTGTATCTGTCGAACACAACAAATCTATGAAATTCATATATCTCAACTGCGGTTATAGAAACGTATTTGTGCACGATCCTCGCATTAAAGACTACTAATATTGTATCTGTGCGAAGCACTGTACACTCCACTTTGTACACTAAGATTTAAGTGCACCTGACCCCTAATTTTTTTTTCCACTTAAAAAAGTCTTCCTGCTTTGGTGAGTATTTCTTCGAAAAAATTGTTGGATTTGGTTAAACCCTCATTTTTTTATGCCCTGTTGAAGTCGAGATCCGATTGGACCATGACCGCGTAAATGGGGATCTGGGCAGAGTAGACTTGTGACGTAACTTCGAGAAGGCGCTCAAGGAATTCTCAGCCTGTAGTCGACCTGCGAAAGCCTTTCTAGCACTAGATTCATTCTGTGGCATATTTGCGACCAATATCGATCTAACCTTCCAAACATAACCAGTGAACTGTGCAAAATGGCGCGAAATACAGATTGTTGGGTTCTCGAAGTGACGTCACATTAGTCGCCAGACTCTTGATCCTTGAAACACGGTCGTGAGTCAAAATGGCGGTGATTTTAATGCGATTTTCCATACCCCAACAGGGCACAAAAATTCAAGGATTTGACCAAATCCAAAAATTTTTTCGAAGAGATACTCACCAAAGCATGAAGATTTTTTTAAACGAAAAAAAATTTAGGGGTTAGGTGCACTTTAAGAACGTGTTTATTTCCTCGACTTTCAAATGGGATTTGGCATCCTCTATAGAAGTATTTTACAGAAGGTTTTGCAACCACGAGTTCGCATTTCGCCATTATTTAGCAGCATTTCAACCACGAGTTCGCGTTTTTCCATCTTCTAGCAGCATGTCAAGGCCTTGCAACCACGAAGTCGCGTTTCGCCATCTTCTGCTGCCTTTCAAATGATTTTTCCCAACAATTGCTCAAATTTTTAACATACAATACATTCCTGTTACACAGAATATTAACTTTACAATTGAAATACATTTATATCAACTGATTTATGGATGATATATTGCAGGTAATTATGCATACAATACGTTGCTGTTTCACAAAACAAAACTGTATGACTGTAATAGATTTCAATGTCAAACTTACAGAGAAATATGCTAACCAGTTACATGGATGTTAACTTCAATAAATATTCAAACGTTTCTTTTTTAACATTTGTATGCACAGTATTTATATCCAGTAAAAGCCATATACAGGTGGTAAACAGATCTTCAAAAGCGGGGGCAGCTCTAGTGAAAACTATTACTAGTTTACAAAAACGTTTCAGTTTGTTTTCCCTTTCTTTTACAGGTAGTTACTCGTCTGATTCATTTGCTCGGTGAACGGCTGCTGGGACAGTACAGGCGAAGTTACGCAAGAAGCGAAACATTGCTAGGTATAAAGAGAATTCTTTACTGTATTGTGAAGTGTACGTGTGAGAATGAAGATAACGAAAAGGAAAAGTAGTGTTTACGACGCCAAAATTACTGAGCAACGCAAAATTCTAATCAACTCAGCAGATTGGACAGTTTGGTCAACTCTTGAGTGCTATTTTTCGATTTTGTAATAATCATTGTAAACTCTATGAGCGCTTTGACAAAAACTTGCCAATGGCGGTACTAAATTTATTTTGTAACCGCACTAGCACGTTCGTATCGAGTTCGTTGCCGTACTTGTTGTTGGTGACAGTTCAGTTGTTGGCGATTTTGTTTCCTGTTGTGCTGGGGTGTGTTAAACGCATAGGGAACGTTTTTAGATCTTTGCTTGTAAGATGCGTTTGAAGACTCTACCCAACTCGTTATGTAAACACTTTTTGTTACGCAGACAATCATCTCCCGGTTGATAATCAGATATTCGGAGGCTCAAATCTCGGCACAGTAGCCATCATCCCTGCGTCAGAGGATGTCCCAGTCTCAAACTTCTCATTTGAACTCAGCTTAGCTCTTCATGCTATCGGTAAGTACATAGTAAACAAGAAGTTAATTTTGCTCCACTACACTCTTTGATTGGACTACAAATCTCGCGCCAAAACTAAAACTTGGTCACTCGCGTTTTTGCCCCGCTTCAGGACGAGTTTGCTCGTTTCCACTTCGAATTCTCATTGGCTACTTACCATATATTTCTTTCTGCTGATTGGCCGGCGTAGTTACTTTGGTTTTGGGTTTACGATACTCCATCGAAGTGAGATCTAAGAAACCGAAGTTCAGTATACATAGGTCATATTCCAAAGGCACCTACCCTTAAGTTATGTTAAAAATCGCGAAAAGTTGTCAAGATGTTCGGGGTCAACGTCGGTTGGACTCTTTCCCTAAAGCGTAAATCATCACAAAATGTTTATTAACTGATGATTTGTTATTTACCTGCATGCGGACTTACCGATTGAGTGTTTTGTTTGTTTGTTGTTAGGTCCCACCCTATTGCTGACCAGTTCGTTGGTCCGAAGCAGGCTTGGTAGCTCAGCCATGGACAGGTATTGAACTACTTGGCGTCCTTTTCTTGGCGAGTGTTTTCCTTAAGGAAGAAACGTTCTCATTTCATTCGGAAATGAAAGCTTATCGACTGCACCAGCGGGCCGTGTAGAATTTACAATATCTTGGTGGAAATTAATTCCTAAAGTAGGGGGGAATGGGGTCGGGTATAACTGAGGAACCAAATTTACCTGCACAAGTATCCTTGATCAAAAATTTGCATGTTATCGTTTATAGACACGGTAATTTTCGTAGAGATTTCCTAGAGATCAGTGTGTGTTACAAAGGAAAGTAATCTATCTAGTGGAAATTGGCCTAATTAATATTATTTGGAGTCTGTAGAATTTGGAATACAGTAAAATCGTTAAGAATAGAATTTCCTTTCTTCTTAATCGACCCTCTTCTGTTTTGTGTTCCTAGCATGAATGAGTACCGTTTGTCCAGCTGGCTTGGACAACAGGAGGATCTTCATCGTATCGTGTTGTATCAAGCTGACACGTTAATGTCTGCCTGGACCAAACGCTGTATAAGACAGGTAGAATATTGGAAGTATTTATTTATTTATTTAATTTATTACGATTTAAACGCTAATCTAATCTGAGGGACATCAAAGAAACTGAAACTATATGGATTATCTCTGTCCCGAACGAAGGTTTGTCTTAACTGAGAAAATAGTGTTGTTTTGAGAAAACTCAATTTTGAAGGATGATCCTAAATCATTGTCTAATCGCTCCTTTACCTTAAGGAACTATTTACCAACCCAAATTGTGAGCAACTTGCTTTTAATGAACGAACAGCTAAAGAAGGGCTAACGCCCGAAACGTTAGCTTTGGGAACTCTTTACGATGGTCAATTAACATTGTCAACTCAGTTGATAAAACCAGATTATTATGTTATACCCCTCACCGACGCAGCACCACAGTTTCTTTGGAAACTTACCCCCTTTACTTTAATGAATCAGTTTTGTTGATTTTATTTAACTCTCGCACTAAGACAGGAGTTTTCAGTTTGAAGTTCGAGCGGTTTTAGTTTAAAGATTGACGTTGAAATGAGTATTATTTTAAAATAGACACGTAAGTTCGAAGGAGGTGTATTGCGGAGTGCATTGCTGGCGGAGTGGTCGTTCTCAGCATTTTCTGTATTATAGAAAAGGAAAGCCAAATGTGTATGCAATATTATTCGGCTTAATCTTTGCAATCTTGATCAAATACCAGCTTTTCATAACCTCACTTGGTTTCTTTGAAAGTTTATTGTCTATTTGCTGCGTTTTTTGTCGTCTTCATTCCGAGTTCGCCATGGTGAAGCCATCGCCAAGAGGTCGTCCTGCACGAAAGGAAAGTTGGCATATTACATGGCTTTAAAAACATGAAATAAGCGAAAAGACTCCTTAGGATTTGGCAAGAAAACGAGCAGCGTGTTTCCAGAGGCCCTGCTAAACAGCATTTCGGAGGAAATATAATCAGAACGGGCATGTGCTAAAATTTGAAACGCCAGAACTTACCGGAACACTGAAGCATGCTGGAACTCTGAAGCATCCCGGAACATATCAAAACGTGCCAGAACATCGCGGAATTTCACAAACTAAAAATAAACATACAATTTTATTTAAAAAAGTTTAGAATTATAATGAAAGAAATAAAATTCAATTTGTGTGTAGTTTGCGTTCTTCGGGCGTCAAGTGCGCTGTCTTGGTTTACCAGTAACCCTGTTGAAGGAGTGTTCAACTCCCAACATGGAGAATGGTAGGTTTACGTTTTATTTATTATTATTTTTTTTTTTTTTTTTTTTTTTTTACATCCCGCGTTAGTCCGGCGTGTTCTGGTTTTCTGGCATGTTTTACCATCTTCCAACATATTCCGACGGTGTTGTGTTCCTGTGTTCCTATGTTCCTGTGTTCCTGTTCTCGTGTTCGTGGCTTTTTTAGCATAAGGAAACGTTTACGATCGATCGTAAGGTTAACCCTATGTAAGTTTTCGAGTGGCCTCTGTTTCCCGGTGAAATTAATTTCAAAGCTAATATTTCCCACACATTTATTCGCGGTATCCTCTACATTCTTTTAAGCGTATTATGAAACTCTACACTTCTATCAAAACGTGGAGCTTGACAAATTTGTTCCCAAGATACGAAGCGCTTGTCCATTTACGAGTGCTTTCTTTACGACTGATTGACAAAACGAATAAGAATTCAAGTACATGGAAAGGCTCTGTCTCTTTGCAAGATAATGCGTTTCCATGTCAAGAGTCGATTCCCTGTCAAATCTCGCTTTTGTACACTTTTGTGTCTAAGAATATAATTTCGGAGTCTGATATTTCAGCCGTGAATCGAATTGTGTCGTGGTCGCTGTTTGCTTGTCTTGCAAATTGTACTATGATTTCTTTGGTTGTGCCCCACAGACAGAAAACGTCGTCAATATCATCTTTCAAACTAGCGGTTTAGTTGTGATCTACTCGATAGTATCTCTTTTATATTTTTACCATGAAAATATTGTCGAAAGCCACGGCCATTACCGTTGCGTGGGTTTTGAGGAACAGTTTTCGGATAATATTAACAACGGCGCGCAAAGCACATCGATTGAGCGTGGCCTTTTAATAGAAATTAGCATTATGCAAAATGAACACTTTATTAAAACAGTAGAAGCTGCTAAGGCCAGATGAATGGGGAAACTTGAACGCACGCCAAACAAGAGGTGGACCCCCGTCTGACGGCTCGAGTAATTAAATTTTTGCTTCAAAAATACCTTTACGTGAATGAGTTTAAAGTAATTCTGAACACTTTACCGAGAATCTTTACCGACGTTCAACAGGTAACTTCAAATCTTCCTATAAATTGGCAGTTTTGAAAAAAACTGAAAAATTTACCAAGACTCTAAGGGGATGTTCGACCTGCGTCTTGAAAACTTGAAGAAATTTAAAATTCATACACTCATGGAACAGTTAAACAAAGAAGTCACTGAAACTTGACAAATGTCTCAACTGCGCATTTCTGAGAATATTTAGAGTCGGTGGATAGTCTCGAACAATCGATTTATTTTTGTTTTGCTCTAACACGCCTTTGGATAAACGTATTTAAGAAAAAAAAACAGTTAGGGAATCCATCGTCTTCGGGTATGCACAGTTTTACCTAAGCAGATATGCAAATTTTTGTGTTTCTTTCGGCGGTCAGCAGAAACGTAAAAGCTATCCAATAAAAACTTGACTTTGCCCTGTAGTAGTATGCAATCCTCTCGCTTTAAGATGATGTGGTAATCGTTCGAATCTTTAGTAAAATCGTCCTACTTTCGTTCGCCAGCTGCACCAGAGACCAAAACTAATCTTAGTCTTCCACAGTTTTAAAGTTGATACCGGCACTGCGTTTCCCTGGGAGAGGAGGAAACCTATCGTAGTCGTCGCCGGTGTTGAAGTTAATGTCGGCACTGCGTTTGTTTATGAGAAGACGTAACTCATCTTGGTCGTCCACAGTGTTGTAGTTAATGTTGGCACTACGTTTGCCTGGTGGAAGAGGAGGTACAAACTCATCCTGTGCTAAGACACTGTAGAAGTTGTCACTTCCCTAAAATTTAATTGGCAAAAAAATGAACATCTACCTAGAGGAACAAGTCCAAACAACGGGCTTACAGATAAATTCTAGAACAATCTACGGTAGTTAGATTTTTACCTCTTCATCTAGTGGTACCAACTTCGCAGGCTTAGAATCCATCCTTGGAATTACGGTGAGGACAACGAGGGACGAAATCAGCAAAGGGAACTTCATTTCTTTCAAATGTAGTGCGACCTGGTACAAATACAAATATGTTTTTCCTGTAAGAGGCTTACATCTCGCCGAGTCGCTTGAACACACCCAGAGAATTAGCGCCGGCGGGCTACATCCAGCCGCGCAAGACGCAAGACTGTGTCAGAAGGAACGTCAAGAGTTAATGTGCTCTTTGTTTATCCAGTTCTCCTGTATATTAAGTATTCAGTCATTCAGCAGAGGTATGACCAACACTTCAGGCCTTCATGAAATTTTACAGAACGTTTAAAGAAAGATTTTCAGCGTTAAGCGAGGATTCTAAACTTGGACCTTCACGGATTTGCGGTCGGATACTTAACTAACTGAGCAACAAAGAAGTCGATGGCGAACAGTGTTATTTAAAGCACTCGTAAGTTAGAGAAATGCGATAAAGATTTAAGAGTTTAAGGATACTCAAGAGAAGCAAGACTTTCTCCTAAATTACGCTTGTAACTTAACCTTTCTTTCCTTTCTTTTCTGCACGTCAAAGCTTCGTCAAAGTTTATCGCACCTCAGTTCTCGTCGAAGTCCACTTTGTCCTTGTAAGAGGCCAAATCCTTTAAATCTGCATGAGAGGAGACCATCATTTTCGCTCATTGGCCGATGGGAAACAATAGCAAACGAACTCACAGGGAGAGTCGACATCTGATTGATGACGGTTGAAGCATGATCATTAGCCACGCTTCCTGATTTTGCTGTAGCCAATTTTTGTTTGGGTTTTTAATGAAATGAAAGGTCGTGAAAGCGTAATCACGGAATGTTTGTCTGTATCCAGACATTCAGTCTGTGATCACTAAAGTTGAACAACGCTTCGTTTTGCATCGTTTGTCGAGTGATTTAAACAAGTTCATTGTGTCGATCGATGTTCCTACGTCTTTCGTGACATCCTCCTGCTTTTCCGTACGTGGGGGCGTTAGGAAATGAAGAAGTCAACCGTGCAAGAGTTGTCTGTCTTCGGATCTCGTCAGGACACGTTAACTTTCAGAAAACCTTTCAACGCAACGAAATATTAATTACTGTGTAGCAACCCTTCGGGAGAGGTACCCTTAATCGCGTTATGCTGCAAGAACCCCATTATCGTCAGTAGATTGACCCCCCTTTGCTGGTGATCAGACTTTTCTTACGATTGAACAAACTATTGCCGGAGGGTTACCACCGCGCCCAACTTATTGATCGACATTTAGCACTACAAACATCACAAATGGAAGTTCCGACCGCATTCCATTCACTTTCACGTTTTACCCTCACAACCACTCAGTTAAATCCATCGTTCTTAAAAACTTTAAATTACTTCAAAACGATCCAGAGACAAGTACTATCTTTTCGCAGCCTCCGCTCGTTTCATTCAAACGCGACAAAAACATAGGCAATTTTTTGGTCAGAAGTTCTTTTCAGACTAATGACCAACCAGGCACTTTTAAATGCGCTCGTGCACGATGCAAAACGTGTCCTTTCATTCACAACACTGATAAAATATCGGGACCTAAACGATCCATTAAGATCACCGATCACTTCACGTGCACCTCCGCCAATGTAATCTATTGCATAACTTGCACTTATTGCAAAAAGATATACATCGGCGAAACAGGCAGAAGACTAGGTGACCGATTCCGAGAACACCTTCGAGACGTGGAAAGGAATGACAAGGACACATCGAAACCAGTCGCTAGACATTTTAATTTACCTAATCATTCTAAGCAACATATGGCAATCTGCGGTCTTTCCTT